GGGGGACCTATAGGGGACTATAGAGGGTGGGACCTACTGAGGGATATATTACAAATTCAGTCCAGGGCACATATGAGCAAGTATAACTTCCTTAAAGGGGGTCTCATAGGAAATTATATATAGGGTTTAGGGTTTAGGATTTAGGATTTAGGATTTAGGGTTTAGGGTTCAGGGATTAGGGTTCAGGGTCAGGTTACAGATCCTTATAGGGGGTTATGTAGGGGACTAGATGGGGGGTTCCTACTATAAGATTATTAGATTATTAAGGGGGGGATGCTAGGAGTTAAGACTATAGTTCATATAGCGTTCAGGGGTTTAGGGTTTAGGGCTTTGTGCTTGAGGGGATTTGGGGAGGCTGAGGGATTCTGAAGCTTATGGGCTGCGCCGCTGAAGGTTAGTGTCTAGGGTTTGGCATGTTGATTGCGACTTCTTCAGTCGCCTCGCGATGATAGTGTAGAGAGTTTTTTTCCGGGCATGAGGCCTTCCTTTGCTCCCCCAAAGACTAAGCACGCGGCTTGATTATCGAACGTCTCAGTGAGAAAGACAGCAACATATACCCAAAATCCTAAGCCCCAAGCCCTAAACCCTAAACCCGAAACCCCTAGACCCTACACCCCTGAACCCTAAACCCTAAACCATCAGTAACTCAGACCCAGCTTCTGGGCTTATGGGCAAAGACTTCTGGCAGGCACTGTGCGGGTCTTCTGTGTGTTGTTTGGTTGCTGTGGCTTGCTCGAAATACTGAGGGAAAGGGCAAAAACAAGAGGCCAGTTCAAGATGATAGGGGGACCAGTACCTCAGAATGAAGCAGCTACTCTTAATCTTTAGCAGATGCGCAGCGTGCTTGCACCCTGAGCTTGGGAGAAACCCTCACTAGACCTCGAACCCGAAGCCCGAAATGATAGTACCGGGAAGGGAGGAGATCTTCGGTCTTGTGCAACCTCATACACCAGGACTGACAGTATATCGCGGTTTCCTAGGTGATGCAAGATATCCTCCGTCAACAGTACCTGTAGATCCCTAATTACAGGAACCCTACAGGGTTTAGGTTCCCCAAGCCCCAAACCCTAAACCCTAAACCCTAACCCCTAAACCCCTAAACCCTAAACCCTAAACCCCTAAACCCCAAGCCCCAAACCCTAAACCCTAAACCCGAAGCGCAAAAAAAATGAGAGCTTAGGCGTCCATCGCAAAGTTGAAGCGGGTCATGGTGCAGCTAGACCTGTGGCCTACATGGCCGGAGACCATGGTGCGGGGCTCGAAGGGGTTATGGGGTTTGTGGAGTGTGTAGGGTTTAGGATTTAGGGTTTAGGGTTTAGGGGGTTTAGGGTTTAGGGTTTAGGGTTTAGGGGGTTTAGGGTTTAAGATTTAGGGTTTTGGGTTTAGGGAGTGAAGGGTTTAGGGCTTAGGGGGTTAAGTGTTCAGGGTTTAGGGGGTTTTTAGGGTCTAGTTTCTAGGAATTTGGGGGCTTAGGTTTTGGGTTGTGTGTTTTTTTGGGTTTGGGGGTTGGGACCTTGTGGGTTTGGAGTGTTTAGGGTTTAGGGTCGGGGCCGCTGGTGCTGAATTTCTGTTGTTTACTGTCCTAAGAACCAGCTGAGGCAAATTATTATTGCTGCAGTTATTAGTGGTATTATTATTTACTTTTGAATATAACTGTTATCATTACTATTCTTCTTTTTCTATTGTCATTTTTTTGTGCCAGGGTTCCAGGGAACTTTGAGGTTAAGGGTTTGGGATTGAGGCTTTTGGGTTTACAGGGATTACCTCTAAGGCCCCAGACCCTGGGGATGGCAGTTGAGTAGTTTTTTATTTGGGGATACTATGGTAGCCAAATATAGAGTAAGATTCTATCCTCCTTTTGGGGTATAGTATTTTATATAAGGAATATCATCTTACTAGGTTCAACCACCCCAAAAAAAAGCTACTCAGTTGGGATTGTATTTGGACCATGTACGGCTTAAGCCGGAAAGATCCCTCTACACTTTTGGGTTGTGCCGGCATGGGGTCCTCGATATACCCTTGTACAGCCTTAACTATACCTCTATAAGCCTATATGGGTGGTTGTCAAATTATGGCCCTCTTTTGGGTACCCTAAATATTAGGTGCCGTATTATAATAGGGATCCAAAAAGGGACCATAATTTTGACAACCACCCATATATCCCTACATAACTCCGTACATCCCCATGTAACCCGGTATATCCCCTGTCTGATGTATAAGGGGATCCGCGAAATTCTGGAGCCTAAGCCCAAACGGTCCTTTACTTTCAATCCTTATCCCAGGAAGCCCTGAACCTTGAATCCCAAAAACTCAAAGCGCACAATTAGGATCCTAATCCCTAAGCCCTAAAATTCAAACCTGAGACCCCAAACCCTAAAC